TGGTTGGGGTAATTCATAGTTCTAGCGATTGGATTTCACTCAAAACACACCAAATGACTCCTCCCACCATATTATGATGTTTACCAAGTTTTGGGCTCGATCCGAAACCAATAGGTGTAAGAAATTGGACATTTCAAGTTCAAAGGAAGTTCATTCCAAATTGGAGTGGTTGGGGTAATTCATAGTTCTAGCGGTTGGATTTCACTCAAGACACACCAAATGACTCCTCCCACCATATTATGAGGTTGCCCAACTTTTGGGCTCGATCCGAAATCAATAGGTGTGAGAAATTGGACAATTTAAGTTCACCGGCAATACATTCCTAATTGGAGTGGTTGGTGTATTCCATATTTCTAGCAATTGGATTTCACTCAAAACTCCCCAAATGACTGCCCCCACCATATTATGATGTTGCCCAAGTTTTGGGCACGATCCGAAATCAATAGGTGTAAGAAATTGGACAATTCAAGTTCAAAGGCAGTTCGTTCCAAATTGGAGTGGTTGGGGTAATTCATAGTTTTGAGAATTGGATTTTACTCGAAACACACCAAATGACAGCTCCCACTGTATTATGATGTTGCCCAAGTTTTGGGCTCGATCCGAAGTCAATAGTTGTAAGAAATTGGACAATAGAAGTTCAAAGGCAGTTCGTTCCAAATTGGAGTGGTTGGGGTAATTCATAGTTCTAGCGTTGGATTTCACTCAAAATACACCAAATGATTCCTCCGACCATATTATGATGTTGCCCAAGTTTTGGGCTCGATCCTAAATCAATAGGTGTGAGAAATTGGACAATTCAAGTTCAACGGCAGTTCGTTCCTAATTGGAGTGGTTGGTGTATTCCATACTTCTAGCGATTGGATTTCTCTCAAAACTCACCAAATGACTCCTCCCACCATATTATGATGTTGCCCAAGTTTTGGGCTCGATCCGAAATCAATAGATGTAAGAAATTGGACAATTCAAGTTCAGAGGCAGTTCGTTCCAAATTGGAGTGGTTGGGGTAATTCATAGTTCTGGCGATTGGATTTCACTCAAAACACACGAAATGACTCCTCCCACCATATTATGATGTTGCCCATGTTTTGGGCTCAATCCGAAATCAATAGGTGCGAGAAATTGGCACTATGCCAAAAAGGGCTTTAGCAACGGATAAAATCCGTTGCCTATTACAGATAAATACCGTGGTATTCAAGCCTGTTGCCTATTACTATGTAATAGGCAACGGATTTTCTCCGTCGCTGTTTGTCACTTACTACATCAGATATTTGGTAAACTCCGATGCGTAAATGAATTCCGGATGCCAAAAAAAGGTTGACTTCTGACACCTAAACCTGAAACAGCATCGGTAGTTTCAAAAGGGGTGAGGCTAAAGAGATCTAACAGCATCAGTGACATCTACTATGCTGATGCTTATTATCAATTACAACATCGTAGAAAGAAATAATGGTGTTGTGAATTATATTATACATCATCGCTTTTTTAATTTTGCAGAAGTAAAAAGCCTCCCATAGTGTTGGTGATTACATAAATGCTAATGCTACTTCCTGTTGTAGGCATCAGTGATATAGATGTCTGGTGGTTGTTTTTATCTTTCAACTTCAATTATTTCTGGAAAACTGAAGTTGTTATAAACAATAGGCATCACTTATGTAAGAAAAGGGTAGGTATTTTGCTTGTTTCACATCACACTTTACTTAGTTACTGTGTTAGTATTTAAGAAAGGCCTCATTTCCAAATCATGTTGTTTTGCCATTGCTCATAAAAAACATATATATAAACAGTAATTTAAATATATCCATACTTGTCTATATATATATATATAAGCAAAATACTTGAATGATCCACTTGTCACATCCAAATCACAATTTTTCCAGCCCCACACCACAAATTATCCATACTTGTCTATATATACGCAAAATACTAGCTAGAAAGACATGTAAAATGAAGGAGGAATGTTTCGTTCAATTAAAAAGCCATTATAGGACATGAGTTGCCAATTCTTCTCGCACCTCATCCAATTCCATATAGGTGTACGTGTCTTTCCATCTAGCTCTACACTGAAAAAAGAAAAAAAAAAGCATGAAAAATGTAAACACAAACAGCAGAAATATGAACATAAGCTTAAAAAGTGCAAGGTACTAAATTTGCTTAAGATATGTTGTCACTTCAAATTTACCAAATCATATTGGTGAACAAGAAAAATCTAATTTGTCAACCAATCTAATTAGATAACAAGAAGCCATTAAATGGATCTCACTTCATGTTTCAAAAAGGAATTAAATGATTATGTGATGGAGTAGAGAGTAAGCCAAATTTTTCTGTTAAGAGTAAGTAAGATAAGAGTCAATGGTGAACCATATGCAACCAGACCTCAGCATATCAAGTGAGAACAAAAAGAAGAAAAACATAATAAGAAGAATTAGGATATGCATTTAGATATAAAGAGACATAGCATATGCAAATTTGGCACAAAAACAAAAAGAACACACAAATCAATTATAGACACATTTAACTCAAATGCCAACCATAATTAGTCCCCTTGGTGATCTCAAAATGCACAAGTAAATGCCCAAAGTTTCAGGCCAAAACACTTTCCTTTTCGTACCTATTAATATCGGCGATCAAGGGCATGGCATATATGCTAGAACTAACTTCAGTTATATGAATATAAAAAGACAACACTTAGTTTATAAGTTCTTAAATTTTGAAGATAATTACTTACCCAAAAGTTTACAAGTTCTTAACCTTTTGAAGGTAATTACTATCCAAAACGAATATACAAAAAGAAACAATAAAAGTAAAGATATGCCAAAACCTTTGGTTATTTTTCAAAATACCTTTACTCGCTGAAGTATAATAGAATCATTTCTTCTCTTTTTTAATGGGAAAAATGACATTACAAGAGGAAGCTGTATTCAGATTTCTCAAACTTGAATTACCAAAGCAATGATGAGCATACAATAGTAATATAATATGTGTTCAATCTTAAGAAGTTAACCCATCTTGAACAACATAGAGAAAAAATTAGGTCATTATCTAGATTTGGTATCCTCTTCATGTTTTTGACTCTGGGCAACTTCAACAAAAATCAGCCTCCCATCAACCATCTGGACAAATTTTAACAAAAACTTCGAAAGAGAAAAACAAGACTGAAGGTGTTCACAAAAAAATACAATTTAAAAACATATGACAAAAACAAAGACTAGGAAATTTGATCAACGAAAAACACATATTCAGTACATAAAAGATTAGAATGCGCAAGTATAAGGGCTATATGATCTGCAATTTGGCACAAAAACAATTATAATATGAGTCAATTTACCAAATCAGAACAAAGATGTGTTAGTTGAATGCCAAAATAGTACGATCACCGCACCCTAATGCTTCACTAACAAAATACCAAAATGGCTGTACTTTTAATAATTTAAATGCAGCTCCAAAATGAAATATCCTGCCTTTTCATCTCAAAATTATACAGAAGCTAACAAAACTGGCACATCAAGTGAAAACCAAGTATATTTTTACTCAAACAAAAAGCAACAGAAGAAACAGAAGAGAAAGAAAATAAACCTGTATTGGTAGGAACAGCCCTCCAATTTCCAGGACCATGTTCTTGAATGTAATAGACCAAAATGATATCTTCTTC